ATTTGCTACAGGGCTTGATGGACCCAAAGGAGGCTGAGAAAAACCCTTTTTCGAAATTTCTCTCATCTTAAAAAAACCAGAGCAGAAAGAAAATAGTTTTTTCCCTTCAGATTTGCATTTTAGTTTTTACCTCCTAGGGACCCCTTTGGACAGATAATAAATTGGGGGCTGAAAAAGCAGCCCAAAAATTAATCTGTCTCAAGCTGTCGAAATAAGCTGCAGCGTTTATAAAGGTAAAGGGTAAGGGGTGGATTTAAAATTGCAGAGATAATTCCCTTTAAATTTTTTTAAAATTGTAAAATTTGAAAAAATTAAAAGGGTTTTTTTTTTTTTACACTTGTTAAAACTGTAACACAAGTAGCCTGGTCCACATTCCCGGGAAAGTAGTGCCCCGGCCCTCTTTTCCCCCTGGTGGGGGGTTTGGATTTCCCGCCAGGGTTGCCCTTTTCACTGCCTCTCTTCAAAATTTTTTAAGGACAAAAATTTTTTTAAGGCAAAAGCCAAATTTTTTGGGTGGCCTTTGGATCGCATCCCCTGTTTTTTGGGCAATGATGGGGTTTTCAAAATTTTTGGCCATCAGGGCGCAATCTACAGCTCCACTAGAGCAGTTCCACCCGAGTGTAAAGGGGGCGAGGAAGAGTTTCTTGCCTCCAAATCCGAGACCATGGTCTTGGGTTTCTGTTCGAAAACCTAAGAGGGCCCCTTTAGAAGCCCCGGGAATCAAAGGGGCCCGATTACGTCATAGCGGGGGCCCCGGGGGAGGTCGGGTTGGGTTTTCCAAGAGCCCCCTCTTTATGCGGCCTTTAAAAAAGGGGCCCCCCTTTCCTTTTTCCCCGGGAATTTGAAGGAGGGGGTCCGATGTTTTCCCTCTTTTCCTTTTGGATACCCCAGGATTCATTGCGAACCAAGCAAGCTGTAAATTCAAAGAAAAAGGTTTTTCCCTTGGGGCGCCGAAACACTGGTAAAAATTTGGGAAGTACAGTTAATATTTTCCCAAGTAAATTTAATATTTTCCTATAAATGAATGAAAGTATTGTTTTAAGGGTTATTGATCAATATGTGGGGGTAATTTTTGGGGTTTATCAAAAGGGTTTTTTAAAATCTGCTACTGTGTAAAGGGGTTTTTGGCGGGAATTTAAAAGGGCCAGATTCTAAAAAGATCTGCAGAGGGGGGAAACTATAAATCTGATGGGTTTTTAAAAATTTTTTTTTTTGCTTTTTTTGCAAAATTTAATTTTTAACAAGGGTATTTTTTTTGTTGAATATTAGAAAATTTTCAGATATTTTTTTTAAAAAAATACATTGTTTAAAATTTACTTAAAACCTTTTTTTAACCCCCTTTTTTAAAAAATTTAAAAAGGGCCTTTATTGTTCCCCAATGGGCAAAGTACACCCTCCAAAAGATTTTAAAAAATTTTCACACAAATGAGGACCTTAAAAAAAATGAAATAAGAAAAAACATAATGGGGAAGAGTTAAAATAAAAACAATACAATCCTGTAAATTTTTTTTTAAAACAATATAAAACGGGGGAAAAATTTTAACCAATAGGGCAGCTAGGGACTTTTTTTAACATAATAGATATTTGAAAAACACAACATCAGAGATGTGCAAAATGACCAGCAGGTTTTTTTTTTTTAACTGACAAAGGGTTTTTCTATCAAAACATTTGTTTTAAATTTGTTCCCTGCCCCCGGGGGTTTGGGAACCCCTTTTTTTCCCCTCGGGGTTTCTTGTGAGTGTATCTTTTTTTCATTTTCACAAAAAAAAAAGAAATAAACATTTTTTGAAAACTTCTGTATTCATTCTTTTCCGGGTTTTTGGGGTGTCAACTTTTTACGGTTCCCTAAGCAACAGAGCATACGGCGGAAAAACCCCCGAAGGGTAACCGTTCAAATTCACGCCAAAACTTTTCCCGGGCTCCTTATTTTAAAGGGACTTCAAAGGGAAATCCAGTCTAGGTAAAACCCGCGTTTTTTGGGGGACACGTCCAAGGTTTTTCGAACAGGGGGCCCTTGAGCGGGAAAAAGGGTGGGAGTGCCTTCCCCGGGGTTGGGGAGGATGTACTCCCCCTTTAGGGGGGGATTTTAAAAAAGTACTTGGGGCTTTTTCAGGGTTTGGGGGGAAGATGGAGGGGGAAGATCAATGGGCGAATGGTGCGGCATCTGCGGGAACGGGCCCCTGTAACGGTTCTTTTTTGGGGTGAAGGGGAGAGCTGAGCCAAAAAGCAAAACTCTAAATTTTAAACCCCGGGTCAAAATTCCTTTCCCCTACCCTAAATCAATATTTTCATGAGCTTTAGGTAAAGGGCCCAAAAAGAATGAAAACCCGGGTATAAAAAGGCGGGCAAAAAAGAGTTTTTTTTCTTTTTTGAAAGGGGGCCGGGGGCTCTCCCTTAGAGATAGGGTGGGGGAACCAAACAACCACCGGAAGGACTCAGAGAAAGGGGCCCCGGGGCCCCTCCAAAATCGAGAGGACCCCAGTTGGGGTGGCACTGATCTAATTATAAACCCCCCCGGGAAACGCCCCCCGGGTTTGGGGGTTTTCCAGGCAGCCCACCGGGAGGAGGGCCCAGGGGGAGCCCAGGAACCGGGAGGGCCCTATGTTTCTTGGCTCCCCTGGGAGCGCATTGGGATTCCATCGGAGGAGCTGGCCCAAGTGGCTGGTGAGAGGGACGTCTGGGCCTCCCTATTGAAGCTGCTACCCCCGCAACCCGATCCCGGATAAGCAGAAAAAATGGATGGATGGATGGATGGATGGATGGATAACTTCTCCAACAAGCAAAGGAGGATTCATCCAATGGCCAGATTTGAACTCAGGCTCTAAAAAGCAAACAGATTAATGCTGATGGAGGAGCAACAGGAAAGACTGGAGAAGACAGAAGGTGAATGCCATTAAACTATTTATTTTACAGTTTTAGTTTGGCTGAAAATATCAGAGAAAACATGGAAAAACATTGTTTCTAATTTATATGAAACCAGATAAAGAAACACATTTTTACAATCCATGAGGTTTTTATTGCTGCTCGTTCATCAATTTAGAAGTGATTACAATCATTAAAAACATCCACAGCAGAATATAATCCATAAAATCAGTTGTATAAAATAGGTGATAGTTACTTTCAATCATAGCAGGTAAATAGAACATCTACAGAATCAAGAACTAAACTATTAGAATTAGTTCAAAGGAAAATTATAATTTCAAAAATCTTTAAAAAGCAGAAACTTCAAACTTCTAGAGGAGAGTCAGATTTCTTTAATACATTATTTAGACAAAGGCTTTTTACCGAGTTAAAGCAGGTTCAAACTGATCAGTAAAAATAACAGCAACATCATCAATCTAGTTTATCTTTTTAAACAAACATGTTTCATCATTTTAGGACTTTAATTTCCCTGAACTACAGACTCCAGCCTCTAAACTGAGTTCTTTGATGTCCCGTAGTTTAACCCCATAATCCCAGCACCCCCTTTCAAGGTGGCTGGAGCTACTTTACAACATTAATTAGCTTGTAGCTGACTAACTCTGAGACTGACACACACTTCTATATGTCCCAAATCTTCATCTGAGACTCCTCTATAGGTGATCTACTTCATTCTAATATCTATTGACCATAGCTCTAACACTGAGCCAAATAAAGTTGGAGTTTTGGTGGGCCTGGTTTCAACAACACACATAGCAGGGCTGATTGATGCATTGCTAATGAAAGCCAACAAGATACTGAATTAGCTAAACTCTGATCATTTGCAGCTGACCTTTAAAAAATCCTCCAAAATCTTCATAAAAACTGAGCAAAGCACATTAAATCTGTCCTACCTTTGCTTTCATTTTCATCTGAGGATATTTTCATCTGAATAAAAGTCTTGTTCCTGCAGTATATCCAAGCAATAGCTTATCATTCAGCTAAAAGATAAATGAATAAATTCATTCAGAAAAAGTTGTGCCACACCATGCCAAAATGGCACAGTATGGGTCCGTCTGGATTCTTTCCAATTTAAACTTAAACTATAACTTCTCAATGGCTTGTTGTATGGACACAAAACTTGCTTCATCTGTAACCAAGATAATTTTGTTGCACTTTATTATGATTATTCCCTAATTACAGAAAACGTAAGACATTTTGAATGTAAAAACTTTTTTTTTTGTTAGGGTAGCTCAAAATAATTAACTTTCAAATTTTCACATCCATATTCAACCAGGACTTTAATATTTACCAGGTTTACAGTATAACAGCTTATCTGTTCTAGTTTTTATGTGAAAAGAGCTCTTCATTAATTGGTTCTCTCAAAACTTTGCTCCAAAAAGACCATTAACCTTTGAGTTTTTCATGTTATGAGATGGAGTTTCTAGATGGAAATTTCATCACTAGTCAAGAAAACGCCTCAACTGTTAATTCCTGTGACCACTAACTGCTATGACTTATGTAGGGTTGTCAAAAGTATCGATACTCAAAAAAGTATCGATACTGAAATGTTGTATCCGGATACAATATTCGTTTTTAAAAGTATCGAGACAGTGCTACCACCAGTGGCACCTAAACAGTCATTCATCTAAAGTGCAGAATAGAGGACAATGCACTTTCTGAACACTGTGTGATTGAATATTTCTGTAAATTTTTCAGTTTCAGACTTTATTTTTGTAACAGGTGCAGCTCCTGAGAATTATTTTAGTTTCTTAAACGGTTTGGCTAGTGTCATTGTTATGTGTGCAAAGCATAGCCAAGGAAGGAACACTTAATTTTAATTTGATATGTTTTTTATCAAGCTTGCTTAATATTGTGCACAGCATACAACCTCAAAATATTATTCTTATTGTTTATTGTATTTATTTATTGTATTTTATTTATTAATGATAATATTTCTGTAAAATTTTGGAGTCTGTTTTTATTCTTGTGGTATCGAAAATGGTATCGAGTATCGAATATTTTCCTTAGTATCGGTATCGAGTTGAAAAGTTTAGTATCGTGACAACCCTAGACTTATGTATTGCAATTTATTTTTAAATATAAATCATTCCACATCATGTATGAATATTGTAATCTAACTACTCAAATTACCCTCTTGTTTAAAACCTTTGTTTTAAATCATTCAGGAAAACAGCCTCTCATCCGTGTGAATTCTCATGTGTCTCTCTAGTCAAATTACCTTTTTAGAGTAAAACGGTTGCCTCAAATCTTGCAGGAAAAAGGCCTCTCACCTGTGTGAGTTCTCATGTGAATAGTCAAAAAATTTTTTTACAAATGGTACAGGAAAAAGGCTTCTCACCTGTGTGAATTCTGATGTGAGCAGTCAAATTTCCTTTTTTAGCAAATTTTTTTTTACAAATGGTACAGGAAAAAGGCTTCTCACCAGTGTGAATTCTCATATGTCCAGTCAAACAATGTTTTAAAGTAAAACGTTTGCCACAAATCTTGCAGGAAAAAGGCTTCTCACCTGTGTGAATTCTCATGTGAATAGTCAAATTTCCTTTTTTAGCAAAATTTTTTTTACAAATGGTACAGGAAAAAGGCTTCTCACCTGTGTGAATTCTGATGTGAGCAGTCAAATTACCTTTTATAGCAAAATTTTTTTTACAAATGGTACAGGAAAAAGGCTTCTCACCAGTGTGAATTCTCATATGTCCAGTCAAACAATGTTTTAAAGTAAAACGTTTGCCACAAATCGTGCAGGAAAAAGGCTTCTCACCTGTGTGAATTCTACTGTGTTTAGTCAAACTACTTTTTCCAGTAAAATTCTTGTTACAAATGGTCCAGGAAAAAAGCTTCTCACCTGTGTGAATTCTGATGTGTCTAACAAGATTAGATTTCTTTGTGAACATTTTTCCACAGGACAGACATCCATAAATCTTCTCACCTGTGTGAATTCTCATGTGAATAGTCAAATTTCCTTTTTTAGCAAAATTTTTTTTACAAATGGTACAGGAAAAAGGCTTCTCACCTGTGTGAATTCTGATGTGAGCAGTCAAATTACCTTTTATAGCAAAATTTTTTTTACAAATGGTACAGGAAAAAGGCTTCTCACCAGTGTGAATTCTCATATGTCCAGTCAAACAATGTTTTAAAGTAAAACGTTTGCCACAAATCGTGCAGGAAAAAGGCTTCTCACCTGTGTGAATTCTACTGTGTTTAGTCAAACTACTTTTTCCAGTAAAATTCTTGTTACAAATGGTACAGGAAAAAGGCCTCTCACCGGTGTGAGTTCTGATGTGTCTAACAAGATCAGATTTCTTTGTGAACATTTTTCCACAGGACAGACATCCATAAATCTTCTCACCAGTGTGAATTTTCATGTGTCCAGTCAAATAATGTTTAACACTAAAACGTTTGCCACAAATCGTGCAGGGAAATGGCTTTTCACCAGTGTGAATTTTCATGTGAATAGTCAAATTTCCCTTTTCAGTAAAATTCTTGTTACAAATGGTACAGGAAAAAGGCTTCTCACCTGTGTGACTTCTAATGTGTCTGTCAAGATCAGATTTTTTTGTGAACATTTTTCCACAGGATAGACATTCAAAGGGCCTCTCACCAGTGTGAATTCTCATATGTCCAGTCAAACAATGTTTTAAAGTAAAACGTTTGCCACAAATCGTGCAGGAAAAAGGCTTCTCACCTGTGTGAATTCTAACGTGTCTATCAAGATCAGATTTTTTTGTGAACATTTTTCCACAGGAAGGACATTTATAAATCTTCTTATGTGTGTGGGCTCTCATGTGAACAATTAAAGGTTCTTTTTTTAAAAAGTCTTTTCCAAATTTTAAACATGGGGAAGGTTTCTCTCCTGTAACTTCTGTCTGCTGCTTCAGAACAAGCTGCTCTTCCTGCTCACTTATGGGGAGCTCCATTGTTTCCTCTTTTGTCCAGGGATGTTCTGGTTCTTTCTGCTCTTCTTTTATCTGCAGAGGTTCTGGTTCCTCTTGGTCCGAACTGGAATTCCTCTGCTGTCCACAGAGCTGCTGGTCAAAGAAATCCTCCTCTTTTCCAACATAATCCTGTAGATGGTCTAGAAAGACAAACAGCAGAAACACTTTCTGTTGTAGGTTAAAAAAGTACACTTCACTTTGATCTGTGTGTTGATCTAACTACATATAAATTCAATTCAATTCAGTTTATTTATATAGCATCAGTTCACAACACAAGTCATCTCAAGGCACTTTACAGTTCAACAAAGGAGAATTTAGAGAGGCCAACTACCCTAACAGTCATGTTTTTGGACTGTGGGAGGAAGCCGGAGTACCCAGAGAGAACCCCGCATGCACAGGGAGAACATGTAAACTCCATGCAGAAAGACCCCGGGCCGGGAATCAAATCAAAAAAATATTTTAAACATTTCTTTATTAAAGAAATGTTAAAAATATTTTTTAGATTTCGTTTTCTGAACTGTTCAGGTTTTACTGCACCTTTTGCCCAAAGACTGCTGGAGCACTAGCTCCACTGTGACACTATGGATAATCCCCAAATGAGGTTATGCACACACATTTAACACAGAAGGCCAAAATAAAAGGGAGGTGCATTCCAGAAAGCCTGAGCACCATCCCATTCTGCTCTGATCCAGCTTTTTATCTAGCACACTGTCTTCGCTGACCTCATTACAGAGCTAGATTCTCAACCTTTTCTGACTCCAACTCTAGACACAATAAGTAGAGAAAGATTCAAAAATATTGTAAAAATACATAATGCCCCTCTTCTTAAGACACAATATGGGTAATGCAAAGAAAGACAGGGTTAATTTAACATATATTACATTTTATTGCATTATTCTGCAGAACAAATATTGGCTTCAATCTCGAAACACAAGTTCAATCTTTTCCCTGTTACTCTCATGCAAAGATTCATGCAGCTCAGGCTCCTCCTACTTGACTTTTCAGTCCACAGTAACGCAACTGTGCGTCACTGTGAAGGACCCTAAAGGCTGATTTATACTTCAAAACTAGGTAGTCTGTGTAGGTGACGCAGTGAATGCAAAGACGTCCCCGCCCCCTCCGCAGACACTCTGCTGCACCTCTCCCACTCTGACCACAGACAGTGCCGCAGACAGGAGGCCTCTGATTGGTCAAATCTACATCCGCTTGCCGGCTTGTTTTTTTTCTTTATATGACTACAATTGCGAAAAAAAACAATTGGTAAAGTTGGACCAGTTAGAAGAGCGAGTTGTACGCTGAGACCCTTTTTTCACCTTCTAGCATTTTTGCCCTCATGTCCCTCTGTTGTCGGACAAAGTTGCCCCCACTTCCTCGCTGCCTCAGCTGTATCTAGACCCACAACTAGTTCATGATTGTACCTCTTACGTTGTGGCGTGGAATAATAACGTTTCGCAGACCACGCTTGAAAGTTGAGCATAAATCAAAAATATGTGCGTCAAGCTCAATGCGACACACTGCTGCGGGGTGTTTAACCAGCCCTTATGTACAAATCATTTAGATATCATGCAGGATGACAATAGAGCAATGATTAAGCCAATTTCTCCTTTTGAACAATTTGAAATGCAGAGATGTGTATGACAACATGTCAACCAGAGGCGGAAGCAGTGTTTCCCATTAATGAATGAGACTGTGGCGGCCTGCCACAGTCAGATATTTTTTTCGAAGCAACATTTGGAGCCATTCTGAAGATATTACGTTAGGTTATATCCAAGTAACGTCTTCCTATGGGCAATGACTTGAAGGCACAAACTAAACTGTTCATCATTTATTCTTTATGGTTCCCCAGAATTCAGAACATGGAGGCCAATCAGTCCCCACCAATAGAATACCAGCTGCCTGCTTCTGCTCTAAAAAGTTCTTGCACAATTTAGAGGTGTGTTTAAGGTCATTGTCCTGTTGTAGGATGAAATTGAATGGAGTGATAGCCTTCCTTATTCAGAATCCCTTTTACACTGTACAAATCTCCCACCTTACCAGCACCAAAGCAACCCCAGACCATCACATTACCTCCACCATGCTTAACAGATGGCGTCAGGCATTCTTCCAGCATCTTTTCATTTGTTCTGCGTCTCACAAACGTTCTTTGTGATCCAAACACCTCCAACTTGGATTCATGCATCCGAACCACTTTTTTCCAGTCTTCCTCTGTCTAATGTCTGTGTTCTTTTGCCCAACTTAATCTTTTTCTTTTATTGACCAGTCTCAGATATGGCTTTTTCTTTGCCACTCTGCCCTGAAGCCCAGAATCCCGCAGCCGCCTCTTCACTGTAGATGTTGAAACTGGTGTTTTGCAGGTACTATTTAATGAAGATGCCAGTTGGGGACCTGTGAGGCGTCTGTTTCTGAAACTAGAGACTTTAATATACGTTTTTTCTTGCTCAGTTGTGCAACGCGGCCTCCCACTTCTTTTTCTATTCTGGTTAGAGCTTGTTTGTGCTGTCCTCTGAAGAGAGTAGTACTCACCGTTGTGGGAAATCTTCAATTTCTTAGCAATTTCTCGCATGGAATAGCCTTCATTTCTAAGAACAACAATAGACTGTCGAGTTTCAAATGAAAGTTCTCTTTTTCTGGCCATTTTGAGCATTTAATTGACCCCACAAATGTGATGCTCCAGAAACTCAATCTGCTCAAAGGAAGGTCAGTTTTGTAGCTTCTGTAATGAGCTAAACTGTTTTCAGATGTGTGAACATGATTGCACAAGGGTTTTCTAATCATCAATTAGCCTTCTGAGCCAATGAGCAAACGCATTGTACCATTAGAACACTGGAGTGATAGTTGCTGGAAATGCCCCCCCCCCACCTCAGTCCAAAAAGGTTAGCCACTTCTCAAACAAAAACAAATAATTCAATAATTAAAAAAATAATTTAGCACCGGAGAGAAGGAAAGCCTTATGTTGGTGCACCTCCTCCTTGTTTCCCAACAAAAAAGAAATTCCCCAGTGTCTCTGTCCTCATGGTTCTTGCACACACATTGGGGAGCAAGTTGCAGCTCAGGTGAGTTATTAGGGTCAGGGGTTCAGAGCAGATGAAAATCCCCATATTTTAACTCATTTCCATCTGGTTGCTGTGACGGTGTGTGTGCATTGGGGGTGGGGGGAATTTAATTTTGTATTTGTAATGTAATTTAGGTTAATTCCTCCATTTTACAAGTGTTTTCTCCTTTAACCTTTAAATTTCACCTTATTTTACTACTTTTCTATTTTTCTACTTACTTTTTTTTCTGTAATAATATAATAGTATTTTTTTAGCTATGAGTTATTTATTTCCTCTAAAAATTTTAGAGTTTTGTTTCTTTAAAAGCACCATTAAAATAAAAATTTATTAACATTACTTAGTATAGTGTAAGTTTAATATGTAATACAGTGTAAATATGTTTAGTATAAGGTTTAAACACTGTCTTTTTTGACTTCTTATTTTAACCCATTTCCTTTGAAGCTGAGAGTTTCTTTGAACTCTCCTTTTAACCATCCATCATTTTAAACTGCTTTTTTATTTTTTTCAAATTCTCTAAATGTATATACATATATACACATACATACATACATACATATGCATATATATACGTACATACATACATATGCATATATATACATACATACATATGCATATACATACATACATATGCATATACATACATACATACATATGCATATATATACATACATACATACATATGCATATATATATACACTCACCGGCCACTTTATTAGGTACACCTGTCCAACTGCTCGTTAACACTTAATTTCTAAGCAGCCAATCACATGGCAGCAACTCAGTGCATTTAGGCATGTAGACATGGTCAAGACAATCTCCTGCAGTTCAAACCGAGCATCAGTATGGGGAAGAAAGGTGATTTGAGTGACTTTGAACGTGGCATGATTGTTGGTGCCAGAAGGGCTGGTCTGAGTATTTCAGAAACTGCTGATCTACTGGGATTTTCACGCACAACCATCTCTAGGGTTTACAGAGAATGGTCCGAAAAAGAAAAAACATCTAGTGAGCGGCAGTTCTGTGGGCGGAAATGCCTTGTTGATGCCAGAGGTCAGAGGAGAATGGCCAGACTGGTTTGAGCTGATAGAAGGGCAACAGTGACTCAAATAACCACCCGTTACAACCAAGGTGGGCAGAAGAGCATCTCTGAATGCACAGTACCTCGAACTTTGAGGCAGATGGGCTACAGCAGCAGAAGACCACACCAGGTGCCACTCCTTTCAGCTCAGAACAGGAAACTGAGGCTACAATTTGCACAAGCTCATCGAAATTGGACAATAGAAGATTGGAAAAACGTTGCCTGGTCTGATGAGTCTCGATTTCTGCTGCGACATTGTGAAGGTAGGGTCAGAATTTGGCGTCTACAACATGAAAGCATGGATCCATCCTGCCTTGTATAAACGGTTCAGGCTGGTGGTGGTGGTGTCATGGTGTGGGGAATATTTTCTTGGCACTCTTTGGGCCCCTTGGTACCAATTGAGCATTGTTGCAACGCCACAGCCTACCTGAGTATTGTTGCTGACCATGTCCATCTCTTTATGACCACAATGTACCCATCTTCTGATGGCTACTTTCAGCAGGATAATGCGCCGTGTCATAAAGCTGAAATCATCTCAGACTGGTTTCTTGAACATGACAATGGGTTCACTGTACTCAAATGGCCTCCACAGTCACCAGATCTCAATCCAATAGAGCCTCTTTGGGATGTGGTGGAACGGGAGATTCGCATCATGGATGTGCAGCCGACAAATCTGTGGCAACTGTGTGATGCCATCATGTCAACATGGACCAAACTCCCTGAGGAATGCTTCCAGCACCTTGTTGAATCTATGCCATGAAGAATTGAGGCAGTTCTGAAGGCAAAAGGGGGTCCAACCCATTACTAGCATGGGGTACCTAATAAAGTGGCCGGTGAGTGTATATACATACATACATATGCATATATATACATACATACATACATACGCATATATATATAAATATACATACATACATACATACATATGCATATATATATATATATATATATATATATATATATATATATAAAAACAGTTTTCTCACCCCTCGTGGGGTGGTATGTGTCATCC